AACTTCACAGAGTTGGCCAAGGAGGCCAGATCTGAGACAGGACAGGCCATTTCAGGGGAACATAGTATGGCCCACCAGTCAGACGACACTCCAGGTAGTCCCAGACTTTCTTGGGAAAAGGAAGTGGCCTTGTGGGTGTGGGTGTGAGTTTGTGGTTTTGTCTCATGTTCTGAGAAGACCTAGGAAAGGCGGTTTGTTTGGTTTGGAGTGGACTGTTTCTAGCAAGTCTTTTGACTAGTCTAGTGTTGCTATGTCTGTGTATCCCATTGTGTCTCTGGTTGTAGACATTAGAAAAGAGAATGCATCAATGGATGTGTCCTGTCTAGTAGAAAGCTTCCAGCATTCATCCTGCCAAATTTATGAATGGACTGCGGCTCCCCTTATCCATGGGCAACACCTATTATCTTCCTAATTTCCTGTTTTCTTCCTGAATTCTGGCCACTCTCCAGAATAGGCTTATGGTTTTTTGTCCAAGATATGTACCACCTCCAAGCTTGGTGACATGGCCATGTACTGGATAGCTGAAAGGAATGGCGAGCAACTCAGAAAACTCAAATATCAGTAGGCCCAGTAAAGTCTCAGTGGAGAAAGCCTGCTTTGGGCCTTTTGCTTACCTATTGTTCTGTTGCCCTGAATGTCAGCAAGGTCTTTGCTTCAGGGCACCCCATTGTGAAGCCTGAAGAAAACAGTTCTCAAATGCAAAGGAATGGGCATCACCTGTGGCTCTTTGCTTAATTGCTTAGCAAAGGGATGTGTCTGAATCAGCCTCTTGGCCCTGTGTGAGGCTGTGGCTTAGATTGTCAGCACCTGATGGATCTCAAGAAAGATCCCATATGTGCATCCAAAGCCAATATGGCAAAACAGCAGTCATTGTGGATGAAGTCTCTCGCCTTCCTCTGTAAGGTTTCTGACCTCCATCAAGCGTGAATAGGGATCCTTTGGGTCAAATGAGTTCTTCAAAGCCCTGCAGAGGCTACCCATTAGGTGCTTGGGTTTTCTCATGACTCCAATTCACACAAAGAATCTATACCCCACCATAAGCAGGCCTCAAAGTGGAAAAGCTGAGCAGTATTAAAGGCAGGCCTATTTGATCACTCCTGGTTCACAGGAAGGGTGATCAGGCCATCCTGACATTAGGCAAATTAGGGGCAAGGGAGCACATTGTGGACACTGTCTTGGGCTGGGCTCCTCATGGAAACCTCCAGCCAGAGGTTATGAGGAGGTTTATTTGGAGAAGATGAGGGCCATGTGGCAGTGTTTTGGTTTGAATTGTGGTCATTTGTGTGGCAGTGAAAGAGATGACTGTGTCCACCTGGGCTTGAACTCTGTTGTGATTCCCCTTCGAGACTGAGTTCTGGAACTGACCTCAGAGAGGTATTCCCATGAATTGTGCTGGGATTTTTTGACGCCACGCATGAGAGTCACCATTGGAAACTGAGATCGAAGCTCAGGGTGACTTTCCACAGAACACTGGGAATCTCATCCAGGATATCACATGATTTTATTCTTGAAGACCTGGCAGCCATAGTTGAGAGTCAAAACACACATGGACCTCACATTGTAGACCTCAGTGGGCCTGGTTTCATGTGACGTTTTGGCCACTCTTTGGGAAGCCTTGTTTGTGAGAGTTCTACAGAGCTTTCATTGAAATGATCTTCCTCACCATTTAATGGTTCCTGAATGAATGGAAACCCACAGTGCCTTCAACTTCATTCTTGAAAAATGGCTAGATAAATACCATGAAATTTTTGAAATTCCCATGACCAGGTGGCACTGGAGAACATTTGGATGTCCTGTTGCTGATCATGAGTGTACCAGGCAGGTGCCTTGATTGACTGGGTTGCATGAAAATGGTGTAGAACAGAGATGCCAGTAAGTTGGGGCCTGCTTAGTAGTGGGCCTAGAGCAGTGGTGTGCAGGTGTGTGATAAAACATCTCTGGTGGGGCCATGTGGATCTTCCATGGGCTTCCAAATGGCTTGTGACTGACATGGTGCAGCCAGCAGACCCTTATATGTAAAGGCATCTTGTTATATGGAGAGGTTTCAGGGCAATGTTCAGAATCAGGTTGCTATGGTCAAGTGGCAAACTCTTTGGGATAGAAGCCTGGTTGGTGCATTCTCTTAGGACCCTGACCCACCACATGTGACAGAACTCCCTCCAGTACTGTGTCCCAGTTGTACTCCTTGTATTTCGTGAGGGAAATACCAAACTCCCAGTGCAGCAGCAAGAAACACCATGAAAAGTGGAGGATGACCAAATGGCTTCAAAGTCCCCATGGGGAGACACTTAGCCCCCAGTGGCCACAGTTTACCTACAAAGAGAGAACTCAGCACGTCTGCCACATGTTCATTGGAAAATCAGAAACCATGTCCTCCAGGTCACATAGATGCATACCCAGCTTTGATGGTCTCACTACAAAGAAAGCTAAAGCTCCTGACAACAACATATATTTCAAGAGCCCAACCTCAGAGGCAGTTTCTCAAGAAATCTTTAGGCCAGCAGAGCTCCATGTTGGTGGAGTGTTTACCCTGTCTCTTATTTATGGAAACTTCTCTACCACTTCCAAGGTTTTGAACTCCTGAGCATTTTTCATTCCACATATGTATTCACAGATTTTCTAACTCTTCTCCTCAAATTGCGTCTTACTCGGGGCGAGGGTAATGTCAAGGCATTTTTCTGGATGAGAGTGGGAAGACTTTTTGTAGCACATATTTGCATACACATTGGATTCATTTTCCTATTTTCCATTCCAAATACTGAATCCATGACACTAACCAATACCCTACTAGACTCTGACTACGAATCCTAATATGATGGAGAAAAATAACCCAAAAAGAATAGAAATACAAGCAGTTCAGAGGAGGCATGGTGTATAATTGGACTTGCCTTTTGCATTATAAATGGTAGGTGTTAGGAATGTAGTCTAATGTAATAGTTCTCCATGTGTATTTAAAGTTAACAAATATGTGAATTCCTGTCTCCCTTTCTCTGTATCCTATTCAGCACATGTATTTATACATGCACATATAGAATCCCACCTTGTTTCCTAGCTACATTCTTGTGAGGTGGCTGACTTGGCAGATACAAACTGTGAGAAGAGATCACTCCTCCTAAATGCTGTTGAAACTGAAAATTCAACCTATGGGTGAGCTTCCTACTTGAACAAATTGATACACAAATCCCTGTTCAGTAAAATAAATATTTTTGGATCTGTGGATGATATATATTTCATGATGAATTTCAATTGGCATATATATTTCTACTTTTTAATGT